AACTGAGGTAGGAAAATTTTAATTGTTTTAAAGTGGTTGATAAATTTGCCAAGGTTAGCACAAGTTTCTAAAGAAGATTGTTCCTCTTGTATTTAGGATTCTTCGGATATATGCATAAGGGAGATTACGAGGTAAAATAATTATATTAGTATAAAGTGATTTTATGCAAATTTATTTGAATGATAAATTATAGAAACTATAAGGATTTAGAAGTGATATGTGTTGGTTACTTACAAAAGGAAAAGAGTACGAGGCTGAGGAATTAAGGAAACAAATCTTTAAGGAGGTAAGCAATGCAATTATTGATAGGTCGCTTTAAGGTATAATACTTAGTGTGATGACGTTATAAACTTTGAAGTGATTTGTCATCAATGAATAATTGACATATACATTCATACATATTAGGATATATGGTTTTTGAAATATTAATATACGTTGGTACTCCACTCTTTTAGTTGTTCATATTACATGTCTTATTCCTTTATTGTTTATGTTTTGATAGACAGTAGTTACTTGTTGAGTTTGATCTATCAAACTCACCCATTGTCTATTTTAGCAGATCTTTTAGGCGTGTTTGGTAGACCGCCACCTCAGGAGCAGGGTTACCGATAGTAAATGTTTTTTGGTATTATTATTTTGTAATAGTTTATTATGTTTATGATTTATGTGAGTTGGGCAGCTTGCTTTCTTGTTTTTGCTTTATTTACTGTCATGTTAGCTTGTATAAAAACTATCATCATTTTGATGTATTGATTAATTGAACTTCTATTAATATATTGACTTTATTTCACTTCCTTTGTTTACTCATATATATATATATATATATATATATATCATGTTGTGTCTATAATATATGCATGCTTTCTTCGTGAGTACAAAAAATATTTTCTTATCTCTTAATTGCATCAAGTGTTACCGGGGTGTACACCTTTCAGACCTTAGGTGTGACATCATGCATTAAAAATTAAAAGCTTTATAATTTAATAGATCGTTCAAGTGAATAAAAATTTGATCTAAGGCTCGCATTAAAACTTGCTTAATTGCTTCTTCATTTTTTATTATGCCAATCTAACTAATAGTTTGGTTATATTACAGTTTACATAAAAATTGTTAGTGTGTATACAATGGATTGGTGTGGCTAATGATGATAATTACTTTAAATGTGCTAGAACAGTCACTGCAGTAGAGATATATAGAATTTAAAGTCCTAACTTTATACAAAGACCCAATATACAAACAAATAAGAGAGAGAAGGTTTGAGAGTCATAAAAGACACCACATCTTATACATGTAAAACCTGGGAAAGTGAAAAACCATGAGGTCTAACTCACTTGAAATGATTCTACTAGTATTTATCATTGATTACAAATGACAACCTTCATCGATGGAAGGCGTTACAATGTAACAAATATGCATCATTTAGAGTACATTATATGATTACAATTTAAACAATCCAATGGCATGATAGTTGATCTTAAGAGATCATCGACCCTTTTTTTTTCTTATTGCCAAGGCTATAATTAGATAATGGTGGTCGAAGGACCATAGTCAGATGGTCAAAGGACTGTAGTCAGGTGGTCGAGGACAAAGGGACTATAATCAGGCAAAGTTAGTTAAAGGGACTTTAGTCTTGTGATGGGGTCATAGAGATTATAGTTGGGTGATGGATGTTAGAGAGATTATAATTAGGTGACGAAGGTCAAAGGAACCGTAGTAAGACAATAATGATCAGAAGGATCATAGTCGGACAACTGATGTCGGAGGAACCGCAAACATGTGGTAGTAGTTAAAGGGACCATGATCCGGCAACGGTAGTAAGAAATACTATAGTTGGGTGATGATGTATGATGCCCCATAATCTAATTTGAAAGAATTATTCATTTAATTTTTTAATAACCAATAACTATAGCTATCTAATATCATCTATTAGTAATAAATAACAAAATAAATTCTATAATTCAAAATATCATTGTACACATCTGTATTCATTTTCAAAAATTATATACACTACTCATGATCTACACAATCATATCATAAATACTCTGTTATAAGTAAAAAAAAAAGAATAACTAAAAGAAATAAAACCTGAAGAATCCTGACCAGTCTCACACTCCTACACCCCTGCCCTCACCTGAAATCATTTAACCATATATAATAAGCTTAAAAAGCCCAATAGGTCACCAAAATATACAACTGAATTCAAAGCATGATAAAAGAGCAATATGCATGTTAAGATCAAATCATAGTAGTAATAGTCATATGATCATTGAATAAGTATAAAAATAATAAAACTCAAATGCAGTAGTAGAATCTATAAATAATAAAATACTATGATGTGAAAGCTAGTAGAGTTATAAACCAGTACGAATATCAAATCTATAAAGCATTCATCATATCACTAATACTAATCAGTATATGAATCATAGAAAATATCAAATGAAAATATTGGTAAAGACTATCAAAATCAAACCAATATAATAAAATTATATAGAAATGCACACATGCTATCCAAACATTCTATATCACATGCTCAGTATATCATATGCTTAATATCAGTATAGTGAATTAGTAGTATTAAATAATATACAATAACAATCTAATGGCATAAGCAGTATAATAATGTAATACAATAAATTCATGTAGTAATAATAAATTTATACACTAATAAAAATAATACCTCAAGAACATGCATTTTAGTAGTAATACTAAACAAGTAAGAAATCCAAGCTATCACAATGTTTTTCAATATTAGTATCAATATTAGTAAATTGTTGGCTCAATAAATAGAGTCATTACTCTTTTGCCCGTCAGCACAGTAATTATCTCCTTATAACTCTTAATCAATATCACATAAATCATTAGAAGATAACATCAAATCATAGTATTTAAAAGAAAATTTGTTGGCCCACCAACTTGTATAGGTCAATCAATCTCTAACTAATGGGTTAATCAATCTTTACATGTCTTTTACATACACATTATTATCATAGTACTACAACAATAATCTCAATCATATATATACATTCATTTTTAATGTATTGCAGTAAATAATGAATAATTGAGCTTAATTGAGAAAATATGAAAATGTCATAATAGTAAAGAACAAAAAATTCTATCATGGAAAAATGCACATTTTCAAAAAATTACCAAAATTTCAAAAAATATATAAAATGATATTTTAAGCCTTTTATTGTACAACACTATTATTTTTAGACATCAAAATAAAATTTTGGGTAAATAAAAATTATTATATTTTCAAAATCACCTGATAAAAAATTTAAAATAAATACTCATAATCATGATCTCTATAACATAAAGAAAGTTACGTGGTGAAAATTTTATCAATACAAAATTATTTATATTTTTTGGTAACAAAAACAAAAATTTGGTCAAAAAAAAATTAAAAACATAAAATATTTAAAATTAGAAAAAATGTAAATGTTTCTTACAATGAGACGAGCAAATCTCCTAATAGGCCCGCAGCTTTCAAATATGGATTCCTTTTTCTCTCTCTTACCTTTTCTCTCTTATTTTACCCTTTTCATTCTCTATTAGCCGTTTGCTAAGGGATAAAGGAAAGGATTTAAAATTGTTTAAAAATGCTCTTAGATATTATAATAAAATAATAATGTAATATGAATTTTATATTTAATTTAAATAATTCTTTAGTATAAAATTTAAATAAATTACTTTTGTGCTTAAAAAATTGCAAAAAAAATATACATAAAATAAATCATTTTATTAAAAAAAATATCAGCGAAATCGATTTGCAAAACAGACAATTGACAATCCCAAAATTCTCATAAGAAGCAATGGTTGAAAGAATCTTAGTCGGTCGAATGGACTATAGTCGAGCAAAGGAGGTTGGAGGGACCGTAGTTGCATAATGGGGGGTCGCAAGGACCATAGTCAGGTAACGATGGTCATAGGGATCGTAGTTGAGTGACAGAGGTCAGAGGGATCGTAGTAGGGGCGATAGTGATCGGAGGGATTTTAGTCAGGTGATGGTAGTCAGAAGGACCTCAGTCAGGCGAGGTGATTAGTCAATGAAAGTTCTGATGGCGGTGGTCATGTAGAGGTTTTACTTTCGACTGCTGGATGGAGGTCCAAATACGACGACCAGAAAGTGATGGTTCGTTGTCATGATGCTCAATTGGAGTTTGGGGTCCTTCAATCCCCAAAACTCTATTTCCTCTCTTACCCAAAGGTCCAAGCCTTATCTAAGCCCCCCGCATGTAGATAGCGGGTGCCTATATCTAGATTATTTGGATTGGTATGTCTTGTAAATATGGAGAAAACCTCGAGCAAATTTAGAGCATTTCATTTAATGGCTTATATTGATTCTCTTAATCATAAAACATTCATTCAATATTTAAATGTCTTGATGATATTGGAATCAAGCAGGCTCATTAGAATTGTCTTGTCGAGCTGCTTGATTCGACTATATGTATGCAAAATTTAAAGGTCATTCGGTCATCCCAGTGATATCCTGAAGTTTTCAATTATACTTCGGGCAATTGATTTGGGCCCATTCAAGATCGAATTGGACTATTTTTTATGTTGTCGGGTTTGTTTCATCGAGACATTCAATTTGACTATAAATTTGTTGAAATCATAGTTATAGATGGTCTGGAGTTTAACTTTAAAAGTTTCTAATTGATATATGTTTTGAGATTTGTGCTTGTGTAAGATTATTTTTGATAACATATCAATTTTTATGGTATTTTGATAGAAAAAAAGGGAAAATACATATAAATGAATCTGAACACCATATTATTTTACTCAAGTCGATTCATTTGATCGTTTTAAATAAATAAATTATATAGCAAGCTTGATTAATGGCCGCTGTAAAAATACGCGGATCGAAGACTCGATCTTTCTCTGAGTTCTAAGCGAAAGTTGCGTTCATATATATGAAGTCAAACTTTGCTAAAAATTAATATATGGAAATTAAAACAGGTCAACACCCTCTCCCTCCCCTTCTTAACTCCTCCCCTCCATCCCCAACCTCAACAAACCATGAAAAACTCATCAGAATCCCAAGACCTTCTCCACCGCCCACCGCCTGAAACAACCACCCTCCCCGCCGGAGCTCTCAGCTTCCTTCTTCAGCCATTAGAATGGATCCGAATGCTATGCAGAGAACTGAACACAAGCTTTGTTCTTGGCGTCATGCTTGTATATGGCTTGAGCCAAGGCTTCACTGGTTCTTTCTTCAGAGTGGTTACAGATTTCTACTGGAAAGATGTTCAGAAGGTTCAGCCTTCAGCTGTTCAGATGTACATAGGTTTCTATTATATTCCATGGATTTTAAAGCCTGTGTGGGGGATTCTCACCGATATGTTCCCCGTCAGAGGTTATCGCCGGCGGCCTTACTTCATACTTGCAGGTGATTTTCCACCTTCCCCTGTACTTGCTTAACCTCTGCTTCTTCTTCTTCCTCTTCTTTAAAAAATCACTTATTTAGGTGTTTTGGGCGCATCGACTGCTCTCACGATTTCAATGGAAGGGAAACTAAGCATCCCAGTAGCTCTCCTCTGCCTCGTCGGAATGGCGGCCGGAGTCGCCATTGCCGACGTGACTATTGATGCCTGTATTGCTAAGAACAGTATTGAGAAGCCGAATTTGGCTCCTGATTTGCAGAGCCTATGCAGCTTTGTTTCTTCTGTTGGTGCTTTGATTGGTTACTCATCAAGTGGCATCCTAGTTCATCTCTTTGGCTCACAGGTACAATTTTTTTCTTTCTCAAGAACTGAAGAACACATCTTTCTTAAATCTAGCGCACTTTAAAATTTTGATTTAAAAAAAAACACAATTTTTTTTTTTTTTTTGAGATGTACAGTTATCTTAAAAGAAAACTCATCAATTGTAAGATTTAGATTTTGTTTGTAATAGCTTTCTAAAATAAATTTTAAATACAAAAAATTTTACTTCAATAAATTTTTTATTAAAAAATTATTTTTAAAATCAGTAAGATAAAAATAATAGTCTTAATTTTCTAATAAAAATATTCAATTTAGATCTGGTGGATTTTGATGTGCTTATAATATTGCAGGGTGCTTTAGGACTTATGGCTATTCCTCCTGTGTTTCTTGTTCTTCTAGGCTTTGCTATCTTTGAGCGGAAGACAAATCACCCAAGAGAGAACAGGGCGGTTAGTTTACTGTTTCATCTTTTTTTGCTACCCAGTGAAATCTTGGACGGCCAATTTTTTATTTTTAAGTCCTCTAAAATTTACAAATTTAACGCTTAACCATTTTTTTATTAAACGTTTTATGAAAAGAAATTTCAAATCCATTAAAAATTCTCATAAAAATTAATGTGAATAGTACAAACTCTCCTCATATGAAAGTAGAAAAAAACCTAAATAAAATTTTATTTATATATTGCAGCTATGATCAACAAATTGACGCTCCACCCTGCTTGGATCCAATTGGCATTTATTATTTTCTTGCAAATTCAACTTGATATATTTTAATATTTATTTGCAAATCTGTCTACTTCCGGACCTCTTCCAGGCTCTCAGGGTCAAAAGTGACAAAGAAAAATTGGCCATATAACTAATATATTATTTTCTTTTGCAAGCAATTTTATATTCTAGCTTGACTCAGTATAAAAACAATTTACAGGAAAAAATATATTTAGATCTAAGATGAATAATTAAATTTGAAGAAAAAAAATCAATATATTATAACTATAATAGAATGTATAGCTATTGGATATGCTTTACAATATTCATAATATAAATATTAATTTATTAGTCATATATTACACTCAGTTTAATATTAATCTAATACTTATAAAGCTTATTAGAATCAAAATTGAGTCCTACAAAGAATCATTCAAGTTTATTTGAAAAAAGTTATTTCATTAATTTTTATGTAATTTTTTTCTCAAAGCCACCAATAAGAAAAATTGAAAAAAAAATTATAATTATAATTTTTTTCTATTTACTCTCTTTGGATTTATTTGGGATGGCTGTAGTTTTTTATAAATCTGATTATAAAATTGTTGTGGGGAAATTAATTTTTTTTAAAGCTATTTTTAAAAATAGCGTTTTGTTTTAGTACTGACATTTATTAAATGTAGCAAGAAAGTAATAATCAAATAAAATTGTTATTGTCATCTGAAAAATAAAATAATAAAAAAAATTGTCCTGAACAAACCATTTGTCTTTAAAGTAAACCGTTGCATAGGAATATTTATACTATAACTTAAACTTACATATTTAAGTAATATATAAATAAATATAAATATTTAGATATTAAACATACAAATATATAAGAATTTCATAATATGTGCATAAATAATCCTCCCAATATTTCTGAACATTATTAATATAATGTTGCTAATAATGATGATATTATTTCTTAGGTGGGGGAGAAGGTAAGAGAGGCAGTATTTGGTATGGGAAGAACAATAAGGTGTCCTGAGGTGTGGAAGCCTTCCTTGTTCATGTTCCTCTCTATTGCCCTCAGCCTCAGCACACATGAAGGCCAGTTCTATTGGTACACTGATCCAAAGGCTGGTCCTGCTTTCTCACAGGTAATGTGAAGAACATCTTCTGCAACTTTCATTGAATTTTTGTACTAAAAAATTATTTTAGAAATCAATAAAAAAGCTGTTCCAAATAAAGTCTAAGGCTTAAGCTTCGTTTGGGACGGCTTTCTGCTAAAATTTTTAAACTAAAAAGCTTTGTTAAAAAGCAATAAGAAAGCCGTCCCAAACGAAGCCTTAGTTTGGGACGGCTTTCTTATTGCTTCTTGAAGCTGCTTTATAGTAAAAAATAAAAATTTTATACTAAAAAGTTGCTTTTAGAAGTAGTAAGAAAGCCGTCCCAAACAAAGCCTCAAATTCAAGAAAATAACATAAATGATCTTTCCATAACATTAGATTTTCTGAATGCAGGGATTTGTTGGCATTATTTATGCCATAGGAGCAATTGCTTCCATTATTGGTGTCCTAATCTATCACAAACTTCTCAAAAACCATCCATTCAGAAGCCTAATCTTCTACTCTCAGCTCCTTTACAGTGCATCAGGAATGTTGGATCTGATCTTCATCCTGCGCTGGAACCTCAAACTTGGAATACCAGATTATATCTTTGTTATCTTAGAGGAATGTGTAAGTAGAGTTATTAGTCGAATTAGATGGATGCCGATGATTGTTCTTAGCACCAGACTCTGCCCAGCAGGTATTGAAGGGACCTTTTTTGCTCTTTTGATGTGCATAGATAGTTTGGGTTCGCTCGGATCGAAAACCGGAGGCGGAGTTCTGTTGAACCTGTTTCATGTGACCAGAACTGACTTCAGAAACCTGTGGCTTGTGGTTTTTATAAGGAATTTGTTGAGGTTAGTGACAGTGGCGCTTGTTTTTCTTGTGCCTTATACTACCCAACTGGATGCTTTGCTTCCTTCAAAGCTTTTGAATGGAAACAATGGAAGTGATGTTGAGAGCCTGAAGCTTGTGTCAATGAAGCAGGTGGAAGTAGATGAGACACTATAGCTGTCTTGTGGCATAATTAGCCGGTTAGCCAAGCCAAAATGGCATGGAGAGAGGATAGTCCACTCTCATTGAAGATGGGTAATCATTAAGCCTAAATGGCTTAACTAGCTAGTTAACGAACGTGTAATGATTTTATGATACAAGGCTCTTTCTAGGTATTTTTAGTGTTTCAAACACACTGCTACAGTTTGTTTTGAGAATTGAGCAATAACATGAAGGAATAGGTGCTCATTATGTGTGACCTACTGAGCTATACGCTCATTCCGTTGTTTATATGTTTCAAGAAAAGGTAAAAGATTAGTGGCGTAGTCAGAGAAAGAATAGTTATTGTAAAGGTACGATTTTCTAATATAGATAGATTCTTTTGTAATCATGATGATTATATGTATTTAATAAATGAATGATGAATCATGATTACTATATAGATGTTTTGAAATGAATCTGGATGATGTTATATTTTGTGTATTGATGGATTTTAATAGACTTTATATTGTTTTAAATGACTAAAAAGAAACTCCCTCTAATGAAGGATTTTAGGTAAATGATCGGTCATGCACTCAATCTGATATGACCCATACACCTATTAAAGTGTATGGGTTATATCGAGTTGGGTTGAAACATCACATCTCACAAGAATAGTCAAGGGTCCTCACAAGTAGACCAACTCACCCTCCACCAAGGGTTAGCAACTTGCTGCCATTTGTAACAAAGTACCACCAACTATGCTTGCCATCCAAGAGGGTTTAAGCTTGCCCATTGCATTTAAACAATCATGGAGCTCATCATCCCTACAATTTAAGCCCACTTGCCTATTATTGGCATGCGATCTAGGACTCCACCATATGTTGTCAATGATTTCAAGATGTCAGGTAGCTATAAGTATCTTGGTTCAGTACTCTCTAGCATACTTGCTCTCACCAGCTCCCCCGATCACCTAACATTATTGAGCTTGCCCCATGGTAAAATAACTAAGGATAAGGGAAGCAACCTCCTCGCATCCAGTCAGACGATGACACATGTTCTAAGTAATCTATATTGAGATTCATTATCTTATATATTTTTTTATTTTATATTTCTTTATAGATGTAACTTTTTCTATAGCCTTCGAATCCTTATAAATAAAAGTTAAAAAATAATATTTTGAATCTTTTGGTATATTCAACATCAAATGTATTCAGGACCTATATTACATATATTACAGTTATTAGATCATTCCCTATAAAACTCTCTCTCTCTCTCTTGCTAATCTCTCCATTCTCACATAATATTTCAGGTCACATTCTCAAAACTTACCTACCAATAAAGTCGGGAAATCACCCACAGAAAAATTTGAATCCAACACTAGTAAAATCATGTTACATGGCTTTCCATAGCTTTGACCAGATACAAGAAATACAAGAGAAATAAAAATAATAATAATAATAATAATAAAATAAAATAAAATAAAAATTATAAGCAGATTTTAAAAAAACAGGATTAGGAGTTGAAGTCCAATACCATGCCACTATAGATTATGGCTTACAAAATCATGTCCCTATTCAAGCCAATTAGTTTGATCCCATCCAAGAGAAGTTGAATTCAAAAGTTTATAAAATCGTTTATTTATGTGAAGTGTACCTTTGCATTCAACTTCCAAATAAAACTTAATGGCATCAACAATCTATGATGGAGTTTCATAACGCAAGGACTGAACTCCAACCTCCCATTCCCATGACCAACATATCGAAGGGAGAAGGGATTTTATCAGATTTGTTTTCAATAAAAAGTGGGCAAAAAATCTCAAAGAAATGCTATGATTATTTGCCTTGAAGAAGACCTATTTATTCCTTACATACAACTCTGGTACAAAATTTTTTGCATAATACAAACATGTAAGAGAAAAATTTTGATATATAAAAATATCATCACTACAAACAAATGTGGATAGATACCTTATGAATTAGTTGCACTTGACTGAAGTGCTACCAAGGAAGCATAAGCCCCATCATTGATGTTCATAAGAATGTCATGCTTACCTTTCTCAGCAATCACTCCATTTTTAACAACAGCAATAAGATCCGCATTTTTTATCGTCGTGAGCCGGTGTGCAACCACGATCGTGGTTCGGTTGACCATCACGCGATCCAATGCGTCCTGAACAATTCTTTCAGATTCAGCATCAAGAGCACTAGTAGCCTCATCAAAGAGCAAAATCTTCGGCTCTTTCACTATTGAACGAGAAATGGCTATCCTCTGCTTTTGCCCCCCAGATAGTTGAATTCCTCGCTCGCCCACCATTGTGTCATAGCCCTGCAATTTGCAAGTCAGGAGGCAAATTGTTCAGGTTAATGAGAAGAACTATGAATACAAATAAAAGTATGGGAATGGCTAACTCGCCTGCTGCAAGCTACATATGAATTTGTGAGCATTTGCTGCCTCAGCTGCAGCTACAATCTCAGCTTCAGTAGCTTTCCCTTCTTTCCCATAAGCAATGTTTGCTCGAATTGTATCGTTGAACAACACTGGTTCCTGACTTACCAAACCCATCTGCTGCCTTAGCCATCTCAGCTTAAACTTCTGCAATTCTATTCCATCTAAAAGTATATGGCCTGAATCTGGATCGTAAAATCTCTGTAACAGTGCTATTGCTGTTGACTTTCCACTTCCACTCTCTCCTACCAATGCAATAGTCTGTAAAGAAAAATGAAGAACATTAAAGCGGACAATTTGCTTCAATGGATCCAAACTGTTTGTAATGCGGCATTTGCTTTACCTTTCCAGATTTAACAGACAAGCAAAGATCCTGGAAGATCTGGACATCAGGTCTTGTAGGGTACTTGAAACTAATATGAAGGAACTCAATATTGCCTTTAAGAACGTCTAAAGTCATCCCAGAATCATCACTTGGATCGATTTTAGATTTTCGGTCCAAAACTGAGAAAACAGAAGCAGTTGCAGACTTGGCTTTAGTAGAATCTGTCGCTAGAGAGCTTGACTGAGAAATTCCAAGGCTTGCCATTGCTAGGGCAAAGAAAACCTGTCCGGCATGTGAAAACAAGCAATTAGCAGGAGCTAAAAGAAACTATCATAACGGTCATATTCCAGTATCTTCAAAATTTTCCAAGGGGATAGGATATCAAGAGATCTAAACTACATAGTAAGACTTCTTTTGTTTATGCAAGGTGATATCTTTTGTCAGTTGGAAGGAAAAAGTTATTTAGCTGTACCTATAGAACAAGTTAGCGAAGAGGTTGCAGCTGCAAGACCTTGGATGAAAGAAATACATACCCGAAAAACTTTGCCAAATGTTGTCTTTCCATCCTCGACCAATCGAGCTCCAGCATAAAAGCAGGCAGCATATACACAAAAGAGCAAGAAGAAGGAAACCCCAAAGCCAATCCCACTAATAAGTCCTTGTCTGATTCCAGTTTTCATTGGGCCTTCACACTTTTTCTTATAAAGTTCCATGACCTTCTCCTCTGCAGAAAATGAAGCAACTGTCCTTATGCTTCCAACTGCATCATTCGCCACCTGACTTGCTTCCTCGTACATCACCTGCACCAATTTGAAAATCAGTCATCAGATGCTAATTCATGGATTAATTACATTTTGAACAATTAATCTGTTTCCTATGAAGCTGCAGAGTTAAACCTTTGCATCGGCACTAAATCCTTTCATGAACTTCATCTCTATCCATCCATTGAGGCCAATGAGAGGTATCATTGCCAAGATGATAAGAGACAGTTCCCAGTTGGCAATAAAAGCGATTAACAAACCAGCGATTAAAGTGGTAATGTTCTGAACAATAAGGGCGAGTGCATCACCCACAAGACTTCTAACTGTAGCTGCATCAGCTGATAATCTAGCGCCAACTGCACCACTTGAGTTCTCAGGATCATCAAACCAAGCTATTTCCATGTTGACAACCTTCTCAAACGTCATGAATCTAATCCTTCTAATCAATCTGGAACCAGCCAGACCAAAAAAGTATGATCTTGCTGGTTCTGCTACTAGAGATACAACTCCAAATATCAAGAACATTAAAGACCAAAACTTTGAATCTTGCTTGAGCTTATGCGGTGGCTGATAGAAAGTGTTAATAACACTGGATAGGATTAGTCCAAAAGCTGGGAAGATAAGCCCATTTATGATTGCAGAAGCTGCACCGAGCAGCAAGATTGGGATTTCTGGTTTGTTCAGCGAGGCAAGACGACTGAGAGGTACTTCCTTTGATTGCTCAGTAGCACTAGTATTGCCTGCATCCGATGCACTTGCTGGGACATCAACTCCTACAGGTAAACCAAATCCTGCCGAGAATGAGTTGTGGCGGCTGCTATTCCCGAAAGATGATTCTCTGCTAATGGACCGTTTGAAGGATGGCTTTTGGCTCGAACGCCTTGCTCTGTCAACTGAAAGACTACTTTTCTCATTATCAGATTGAAGCAATGAATCCGAATTTTGGCTCATTTCCTGCAACCGGATAAGTTGGCTATATGCACCGTTTGGATCCTTTATTAGCTCCTTATGTGAACCTAAAAAACAAAATATAAATAAAAAAAATAAGTTTTTCGAAGAAATAACATGATCATCAAACCTACTAATTTGGATGAATTGCAGAAATCTAGCTAGTAGGATTTATACCCTTCTCAACAATCGAACCACGATGAATAACAGCAATAGTATCAGCATTTCTCACTGTGCTCAAACGATGAGCTACTATAACAGTAGTACGATTCATCATGACTCTATCAAGTGCTTCCTGCACAACTCGTTCGGATTCTGCATCGAGAGCGCTAGTGGCTTCATCAAGTAGCAATATCTTTGGGTCCTTGAGAATAGCTCGAGCAATGGCAATTCTTTGTTTCTGGCCTCCAGAAAGTTGAGCTCCATGCTCCCCAACCATGGTATCTAGTCCCTGAGTATCATGTTTGAGTGACATACAATTCTTTCATGGTTGGCAAGAAAAAGATTCAGAAGGCGTAGACTAACCTGAGGCATCTTGTCAATGAACTTGGAAGCATTAGCTTGCTCGGCAGCAACTTTGATCTCTTCAATGGTTGCATTATCTTTGCCATAAGAGATGTTATCTTTAATGCTCGAGGCAAAAAGAACAGGCTCCTGGCTCACAAGCCCAATCTTACCCCTAAGCCATCTAAGTTGAAGATCTTTGATATTTGTACCATCAATAAGGACCTCACCAGCTTGTGGGTCATAAAACCTTTCAATTAGACTTATCACAGTTGACTTCCCGCTGCCACTCTCCCCAACTAATGCTGCAGTTGTGCCAGAAGTAATTAAAAAAGAGAAACCTCTGAATATTTGTTCATCTGATCTGGATGGATAGCTGAAATAGACATCTCTGAATTCAATATCTCCATTAATGTCATCTAATTTCTTCTTGCTTGTATCATAAGCATCAATCTCGGGCTTTCTTCTGATTGTCTCGAACATCTTGTATGCTGCTGCTTGGCCTGCTGCAAAGGCTGTCAAACAAGGTGATGCCTGGCCTAGAGAACTGGATAAATAGAATTGCACTATTCACATCAGTCATATTGCTAAAAACAAGGTTTTTTTTTAATAATAGCAATCCTATTTTTTATATTTTGGTTAGGGCTATCAAAATCGGGTCACGAGTCGGGTTCGGGTCCAACCTGAAACTGACTAGGCATTGTTCGACCCGACTCGAACCCTACCCGTTTTTGCAAACGGGTCGATTTTTCGAACCTGAATCCGACCCGCTTCGGGTCTGGGTCAACCCGAACCAGAACCCGACCCATTTTCGATATATTTAACTAAAATTTTTTATTTAATTCAATTTAGTTAAATCTAAATCGAATTAAGGTAAAATTTTACTTTAATCAATTTAAAATAAATCAAGCTTAATTCAGTTTGGGCAAAATAGTTTATTATTTTTTGAAAATAGCATTTATTTATTTCATAATAATATTTTAAAACCCTCCAAAATCAATCAAAAACTGGTCAAACCGGGTTGATTTCGGGTCTCGGTAGGCAAGAGATCACCGGAGTATGGCTTTTTTTTTCTTCTTTTCTTTCTTGTTGTCTGGTTGACCCAAACCCTAAATTTTTGAACCGAGTTCGGATCGGGTCAAATATTGACAGCCCTAGTTTTGGTTACTAGTAATTTTCCACTTGCAAAACTTGCCTAATTGTCTGAATAGTTATATATTTTCATGTCATTCAAATATATGTTAACCATATCATGGACGTAAGGTTTTGACATGCATGAAAAAGAAACAAAAGAGATGACAAGTAACTTACAAGGAACCAGTGAGAAGTGCAAATATTACATTAATAACATCTGCACCAGTGTACCCTTTGCTCTTGTCTAATATAAGCTTTCCTCCATACCAAACACCTAACGCATAACCGCAGAACATGAAGAACATGGCAAAACCAAGACCCAATCCTGCAGCCAGGCCCTCCTGAACACTGGCGGTGTAGGCCTTTCTTAGTGCATTTTTGTACTTGTACACTGAAATCTTTTCCCCAGTAAAAGATGCAACCTGAAACAGAGGATGCGTTCTAAACATAAGAATAAATTGTTTTCTCTCAAGTGATTAAAAGAGTGACAGATAACACTCCAAAAAACTTTATATTAGAAGACAATAGAAATATAATCTGCTAAAAATGCTATCCAAACGGCAAAAATTCTTGCGTAGTGAGTGACACTAGGAAATAAAACGATTGTCATGAACTTTACTCTTATAGGAGAAAAATGATCATTCTCCTAAGGGCGTCTCCAGCTGAACTCCAAACGACTGTAAGGCATAGCTGGTTTGCTCCATTCGAACAGTAATCCGTGGGGGGCGATTTTTCTATCTCAACCAGATTTGCCGAAGAAACGCGCGAAAGAGGAGAAAGACGGTTACCTTCGCGTGTTTTTGAGTTTCACTACATTTTGAAGTGAAAAATGGAATTTTCGGTTGGAGATGACCTAATTAAATTTGTCTCTACTACCTCATGCGGTCTTCAAATCCAAAAACACATGGCCGATTTCATCTTCAAAGTAAGAATTACTTATGGATCTTATTTTAACAATCTCTATAATAACTAAATCATTCATGAGGCAGTTAACAAAGATTGCATGGCATATTAAGCACACTTAAAATTCAGTGGCACCCATAAACCTCACCAATAACATCAAAACTCATATGAGAAGAGAATTTTCATCCCCATATTTAAAAGAAAAAAATTCATCACCATATCATAAAATGTACATGCACGCATATACAAACGAGTGGATCTGTATCTCTATGTGTTGAAGCAAATCACTTACAGTTCTAATTGATCCAATTGCTTGCTCTACAATTACTGCAGCATCGCCATAGGATTCCTGCCCTTTTGAGGCCATCTTGGATACAACAATGGACATTATTGCACCAGCAACCACAAGGAGTGGAATTATGGATAGCATCACGAGGGATAAAAGCCATCCTTGAACAAATGCAACTATGAAGCTCCCAAAAAATGTTGATGTTAGCTGAATGAACTTACCAACCTGCAATATGTTCAAGTTGGATAAATTTAGTCAAGTTATAAATATATAACAAAAAGGTATCCTTCTATAAATTCAATAGTACTGATACTTTTACCTTCTCTCCCATTGCATCTTGGATTAGAACAGTATCCCCTGACATTCTTCCAACAACTTCCCCTGTGTTTGTTTCCATATCAAAGAATGCGATTTCTTGCCTTAATATGGTTTTCAGGTACAAGTTCCTTATTCTTGTTGCCTGCCTCTCCCCGGTGACCATCCAACAAGCCACCTCTGATAAAAAATGGGATCAGTAAATTATTTATTCTGGTTTAAGATACAGTGGATCAAATAGCACAATATTGGGAAGTCTACTTACGTAAAAAGGATGCCACTCCTGAGCCTGCAGCTAAATATACAAACTCAAGGGATACCTACAAACATAACAAAATGCAATGAAGCTCATGTGATATTGTCTTTAGGTTTCCAACTAGATTGCAATAGCTTAAATCCCCACAAGAAAAGAAATGCAAACATATCGAAGTATCTATATCATATAAATGAAAAAAATGCATCAAATGAAACTAAATTTGTTATGAATTGAGAAGGATTAATACTTAAATCTAACCAAATAAGATAGTTATCACATCCAAATTGTGATGTAGTTGTGTAGCTAATAGCTTGCATTTAGAATAAATAATTAAAAAAAAATTATGTGTGTATGTGTGTGGACTGTGGACTACCCCTTCTTAAAAGTGAACAAAAATATTAAATTTTGATTTTATGACCTTCAAGTGCAAGACTAATTCTATAGAGTAGAATTCTCCAAGCAAAAGAGAGTTGATGCTGGGGAAAATGCATAAATATTTTGATATTTCATGAATTATTTATTTAATGCAATGTGATGAATAGGGGTATCATAATGAGCTGATGGGTCGGATTTGGATATGACTTGAAATTAAGCCGACCCAAATACATTCAATTCGAATCCAATACGCTTAATAAACAGGGAAAAAAAGATCAATCTGAACCCGACCTGCTAGCAACCGAATAATCTGAAACAAACCCATTAACCTGTTTTGATTAAAAAAAATAAAACTTGTTAACTATAAATTTGTTATATTGATGTTAGGCATATAATATTAATGTTTTAGATGTTAAATATATAAATAGCATGAAATAAAGTGGCATGTATGTAAATCTCCCTAGATTTAAATGTGAATTTGACTCTTAATAAGACATAATGAATAAAAAGTATTCATGTAGCCGACCACACCACACGTAGTGAGATAAATACTTAATGTTATTATTGTTTCAATAACAACAACAATAAGCTTTATCCAACTATGTGGGGTTTGATGTTCTTGTTGTTGTACAACATACCACATCATGCAATATTAGAGAAACTTCACATCAAAGCATGATTGAGTTTTGACTTTGAATAACAATGTCCAATTAAATCAAAATAATAAAAAAATTTGCCATAGTCAGAACTATCGGTAGAACACATTAGCTATCCCTACGAGAAATGCCAAACACTAAAATTTTTAAAGAATCATACCTTTGAAACCCTGTGAACCACGTCGTGAATATCTTTAGCTCCTCCAAAAGACTGGATCAAGTTCCCAAAGAGAACTGTCATGAGAGGCAAAGCAGCCCCATTCGCCAGTGCTCCAACAGACCCCAAAATCATAAGAAAGACATCGATGTGGTCGGCAAAAGAAAACAACTTGTAGAAAGGAACAGTGTGGTTGTTTTCTCCCTTCTTCTCACTATCTTCCGGATCTCGGATGTTTCCAGCCTCAATCTTGCCTGTTTCTTTAACCTCTGAATTACTTGATGACGCCTCACGATTCTTTTCAATGTCGCCATGCCATCCCTGTTCTTTTCCAACTCTGTCCTCCTCCCCCTTCTCCATAATTATCACCGTCTTTCTCAGAGAAATCTTATCACGGATTTCTTTTGCTTTATATGCACCAAATCAGTTATCTGACCAAAGAGCAAAAGACATGAAATTTTTTCTGGCCTTTGAGCATTTTTCGAGGAGAAAAGGAAAATCCGAAGAACAAGCAACTCCAAAGGATTGGAACAAAAAAGGAAAAACCTGAATAAAACTAAACACAGCAAACAAATTCAAACTTGATACATTAGAAAGGGAAAGTTGCTTGCCGTTAAAGGGAAATACAAAACTCCATTAGAAAGCTTAGTGCTCACAACGTCTACACCAGGCATTTTGCATCACAGTTGGCTTATGAAATGAAAGTTTAACAACCATTATTGATAAAGTCGTGGAGACTGACTAACCTTGCAGACAGAGGAGAGAAACTTCACGCTTCCCTTATTATTCTGAACTGAATAATAGTGGGAACTTGAGTCTAGTATGGATTTAAAGTGCGTGGCAACAAGCAAATGGAAACTTATCAGGTCCTTCCTTTTCTTGCCGTGCAAGCTTATTTCGCCATTGATGTCCAATAGTCAAAGCACCGATTTCTCCACGTGAGGTTGAAGATGCTTGAAAGATGCCACCACTTTGGCAAAGGAAGCTACGTTTTACATCTCTATGCTTCCTGCCTTAAGTTTCCAACGCTCCTGATTAATATTAATTGAGAACATCATTATCGCTCCTAAGTCCTAATGGACCGTTATAAAAATCTTAACAAACGCAACTCAACTTTGGTATCCTTTTTAACAGCTTGTTTTTTACTGCTTTTTTTTAAATGTTTTTGAAAGTAGCTTCTTAATACAAAATTTATTTGAACTCAAATTTTTATTAAAAATTTATTTTAAAAAATAGTAAAAAATTTGTCTCAAATAAAATCTTAGATTTCGTTTGTGACTATGTTCTTACTGCTTATTAAAATATCTTTTTAGTAAAAAAATTAAAAAATTTTAATTAAAAATTTATTTTAAAAAGCAATAAGAAAAAGTGCCATAAATTGTTATGTCTCGGATATACAAGGACAAATCATATTTTCTTGCATTTTTTTTTAACCACATGACCATTTATTGCAGTGTATTTTGTATGATCATGAAATTGGTGTTAATAGTGATGGATAATGTTGTTTGATTATCATAGAATAATGATGTAGAAGATGTTTGTGGGACCTTTATGTTTTGTAAAATATTACAATTAGCTTCAAACTGATAAGTGATAAGTGCTGAATGATAAGTTCTATATGTGATAAAGTTTTCTGCTCCACTCACATGCTTTAGGTTCTGCCTCTTATAGAATAGATTCATCCTATATACTAAGATTTCATTACATTCATTGATTTGTAACAAACTGATGAGTACTCTTGTATTTAATACTCTACAATGAGATGTGTTGGATATATGAGAAAATACTCAATAGAGCTTCTTCATGAATTAGTCCACTTTTACATTTTATGTTGTAGTTTATTCATCTATGCATATACCGTAGATTGCTATCACAAGCATGTATTTTTCATAGCTCGATATTTATCTTCTATAGATGTTCTAGAACATTTGTTTGCTCCTTAAAATTTTATGTGATGAGATAGTTTTAAGGAAAAAAATGCAATAACATGTGACGATGTGTTTTATTAATTTTTCAATCAAACTTTTATATATCGTTGGTTAATTCAACGGCACGAGTGAGCTTCAATTATTCCATCATGAACTTGTTTGGCATGCACTCCAAAGAATAGAATCTGGTAAGATGTCCAACACTCGAGACATGAAGTTACCTTTCCTGGAAGGGAATAATTTAATTCCATAAAAATGCTTCAAGTTTCCAAGGGTTTTAATGTGAAAATATTTGAGATTAAGACTTTGTTTGGTACAACTTTCTAATTGCTTTCTAAAGCAGCATTTTAGTACAAAAAAAAATTAGTTTAAAAATTTTTTGTACTAAAAAAATGCTTTAAGAAGTAGTAAGAACTCAATCCCAAATGAAGCCTTGGGACAGTTTTTTTTTATTTCTTTTTTAAAGCAGATTTCTAGTACAAAAATTTCTAGTTCAATTTTTTTTTTGGGGTTTTTACATACATAACACTTTAAACTATCATAATTACTTATTTAACATCTAAACATTACTATTTACATACATACCACCTAAATTCCATCATTCTCCTAAAAAATACCACTCCGTTAACTCTGTGCCAAATCGATGAAATCAATGGCAAATCGCCGGCCTTTGACGTGCTTGGTCTCGTCGTTCCGGTTTGTTCTTCATCCGCCTGACCTCGTCCAATGGGTTCGTAGAGAAGGCGGCTTCGTTCACTCCAAGCTCAGAATTGCAAACCAAGGGTCCGATGTCTTAGGAAGTTATGCGTATCCTCCCTCAGTGAAATCCCTGCAGGAGAAGACCTCACCACCCTTCCCAGCCATATCCCGTTGCGATTCCAGCGTTCTGACGAACCTAACGACGAGCGTGATTCTGTCTTGAATCAACTAAGTGGGAAAATTTCAGGTAATGGTTATTGCAGATGTAATGCTTCCTTTTGTCATTTTGCTGGCAATGCATGCATTTTCTTTATGTCAACTGTTAACTGATTTTGTGATCTTATTGGCTTAACTAATGCTCTTATTCCGGAAATGATGACATAAGAAGTTATTTGCAACTTTTGTTCTGAAGCTCACAGTGCAGGAAAGCTTTCGGCATAGTCATGCTCTGAACATTAACGAGGCCGGAGAAGTCCGGCAGAGGTCCGGAGAAGGAGTTGGAGTGTAGCCAGAGCTCTTCCAAACCAGTCATGCTCTGAACAAACGCGATGCCACCAGAGAGGGAAGCGAGGGAGGAGAGGGAAGGAAGATCGCCGGATATCTCATTAAACTGAAGCTCCAGGCGAGTGAGGGCGGTGAGGTCAGCGATGTCTTTGGGGATGGTGCCGGTGAGTCTCTGGTTTCCGATCTGGATGGCAACGATGCGGCATCGCGTTGCGTTGCGGCGACATCGTCGACATCGCCGTCGTCCGTTTGCGCCGCCGAACGCAGGATAATCGTTCGCACGGAGTTAACGGAGTGTTATTTCTAGGAGAGTAATTGAATTTAGGTGGTATGTATGTAAATAGTAATGTTTAGGTGTTAGATAAGTAATTAGGATAGTTTTAAGTGTTATGTATGTAAAAATTC